TTAAAATGTTTCACAGTTGAAAGAATAAGATTCCCAAAATTTCGGAGTAGTGCAACTCGCCTGCGACGATGAAATAAAAATAGGGGTAACCACTCACTGGGATTAGGGAACCACGGGCAAGCAAAAAATATTAAATTCAGGAAAACTAAAGGGAAAAAACTGCGATTGTTTTAAATGGTGAAGAAATCATCCAAAAGAGGAAATACTGTCTACAGCGTATTACCCATAAGCTACTGAATAAACCAAATACCAGGACAGAATCACTGCAGGATCGGGGTTTTTCGTAGATTAGGTATGGACCGATCACATGTGTGATCATAGAGTCAATATGAATCTACTCTACACTCAAACTGCAAACCGAAATGCAAGGTATGACTCAACTCTCGAACGGCACTGCTCTTCTAAATGAAGGCGAACATATAAGTGGGACTGATCGCCATATTAATCAATAAAAAACGTCTTACCTTTCCAAATAGTCGTTGAACTCTCGAAGCGTAGGAAAATCTTCTTTCTTGAGATTGTAAACCTGTAAATATGGACACTTGCTGTATGTCCCTGGTTATGAATACTCGTGAATCAGCAGCGCATCACTTATAGACAAAACCGCTTGAAAAAGTTAATGCGCAACCAATAGCTGTTGCATCTGATACCTGACTTGAAGCAGCGCACATTAACGAAACTAAGAAGAGTGAAAAATTTTAGAAAACTTTTTACTAGTCCAGAGTTTCCAGGCATAGCGCTATATCGCGTTGCAAAACTGTCAAATCCACATTACGTGCAGAAGAATCCCAGTTAGATAATCGCTTGAGTTCGAGTGAGAAATAAATAAAGAAATGTGAGAACCGACCTTCCTGAGACGTCGTCTGATGTGCGTTTCTTTTTCTATCAAAGGATCGTCAAACACCTGTTCCCAAAAATTGTTTTTACGCAACGTTTTTCCACAGACGTGGCATGGACCCGCATTTCGCGCAAAGAGATTCTCCACACAGTTTCTGAAGGAAAAAACTCGACCATCACCAAAAAAAAAACTGTCAGCCTACTTGCACAGAGGATGTCCGCATTCGTTTACCATCATAACAAGATTTTTATTAGTATATTCATTAGACTTGCATTTCCCACACTCCCTCATTTTGTCAATATGTACTAAATGAAGATTCATTGTTAGGTAGTGCAATCAATCCTGAGTACCTGCTCAATGCTTGGAAGCTACAACTTTTCTTCTATGATGGTTTTCTTGTGAGGATATAGGCAACTTAAAGCAACTTGTCTGCGTATCACCTCAAGATTTTCCTTTCCTTCCTGAAAAAATACGGTATAAGGCTTACAATTATAGTCTTTCAACGCAAAAATCGTGTAGAAGGATAATATTGGGCTTAAAAGTAATAATGTTTTAGCGCTGAGTAGTATGCGCTCGAATCCTATTCTAATCTGTTCCAAAATATTCGTAAAACTTCTTTCGTGAATTCTTCGACACTATCGCCATCAGTCGGTTGGGAGGTAAAGCAGAGTAGGTAGAGTACCTTCCGCAATTTTGCGCTACGATCCCAATCCTTTTTATTCCCTTCCAAAGGTGACAGAAGGACTAAGCCTACGAGAGGGGAGGCACGCCAAGGAGAAGAGAATTAATCAATCCCTTCGCCTTCCTGAGCTAAATACCACGTAGTGTGAGTGGCTTGCACGTCGAAATGTCCACCCCCCCCCCCCTCCCCCAACGGCAGGAGCGCCAAGACGCCATTAAATGGGGTTGCTGCATCTACCTCATGAACACGCAAGGTCATGTACCATGGAGGACGAGAGGCCGCACTCTCGTTGCAACAGTGGATGATCACCCCCCTCCCCCTCCCCCCATGGATCAAGTGGTCGAATGAACCCATTAGCAAAAACGAACCATATAGCAGAACATTTTTACCTGAACGATTACATCCTCAACTTTTCCAGGCTCACGCATACAATTATCCCTCAAATTTATGGATAAACTTGCCTTGAGGAGCTTCTCTTGAAGAACGGGATCGGTTACACCTCGGTTCGCTTCAAAGTGATCACGGATTCGACGCTTCGCGAATTCACGGTAATTGTACTGCGGGAACTGAAACGAAGGTGAACCATTGGAACAAATACTATAAAATAGGATGCAAAACATTCTCAAAGAACTAAAGTAACCTCACCTTCGATGCTTCTCTTTCCAACTGTTTGTATAGATTTATCCAAACACTTCTTGCTATGGGCGAGGTCATTCGCCCTCCTTCAAATAGCAAGATTATGAAGAAAAACGAAAGCAAAGGAAGTCACATACGACTAGAACCGGAAGTATATGACCGCTGTGTTACGTTACGCTATTGCACAAGCTAATATGAAAGCTTCACAGGACCCGGCCGGCCTTTCCAAACTTACTGTTGATTACGAAATCTGATGACCTTACTAAAGAATTCGTCAAGTGGAAAGTTCGCAAAAGGAGTAGCCCCTCTACACAGCTTCTTCATCCGTGTGCCTGATAGTTCTCCTTTTTTCGAAGCAAACTTTGCTCAGAATGCTAGAAAGAATTCCTCGAATTCAGGAGAACAAGTGTTCCCCTGCCTTTCCTCTTGCGATAGTGTCGAATTGAACATATTCTATCTCCGCCAAACTGAGACGTTTTCCAGTAATAATTAAGCGCTTAAACCAGACGAAAGTTCGATAAAATGTATGGGTGAAATATCCTGCGCTTCACGAAAGATTTGCAGTTAAAAAAGGGAAATTCAAGGTCACTCAAGCCTTAAGAACTGCTTCCGCCAGTATGCACAGTATCTGGGAACTATTCAAATGTGGTGATGTTTGACTGCTCCAGTTGAAGGTGGAGGTGATGATTAGTGGTCTATATATCAAGAAATTATTCAAGCAGCAACAACTTTGAAAAAACCATCATGTCTGCAAAAAGCCGTCAGTTCTCAAAAGTTCGCCTATTGACATTGGAGCACAATAATTGTCACGAAACGCCACCTTTATCGCCAACATGAAACTGTCTCAGCATTCGCTTGTTTTTAGGCTCTTTGTTTTTGCAAACTTTCTTCATTTTCCTAAGGGTCTTACGATTTCTATCGAGATCTGTGCCATTGTTATAGAAGTTAGACGCGAACTGTGCCCTCAACTGTTCCTCAGAAGTGACATTCGACATCACTGGGAAGAGGGTAATTCAGCATTTGGTTCTTTGAAAAAGGAAATCGGGTTTATTCCGGTGGGGAAGGGCATCATGATGCAGTTTCTCGGCGAACTAGTGTGAACTCGAACATTCCAGCTTTTCACGCATGTCAAGTGACTGCCCTCACCCCCACCCCCGTAGACTGGCTACACTCCCCTGGCTCGAGTTACCGTAGCTTTTTGGAAAAACTGCATTATGATGTTTGTGTGGGACATACAATTTGGTGATTCACGGGTTTAGGTAACACTCACTTTTAGGACCAAGCCTTAGGCCGATATCAAACTTTGCAAATCGAGCGATTTGCTGGTTGCAACGGGACCACGGACGTTAGCGAATCGCTCGATTCACAAAGTCTGACATCGGCCGCTAGGGTGGACTATGCGATGTGTAAGTAGTATTCGTTTTCAAGCGAGTTCTCCTCTAACCTAGTGCTTGCAGTGACCCGCATGATCGAGGTGTTGCCTGACTAACTTCGAAAAAAAATTTACTTGTAAGTTGATATTTTCAGCTATGGGTTCAATTGAGGTTGGCGAGTTGCCGCTACCCTCAAACTCTGTGGACCAGACACCGTCATTATCTCAAAAACTTACAGAGACCTTGAAAGGAAATCCATATTTCAACGCTGGAGCCGGTCTAGCTGGAATAGGTTGGAATAAATGGTCTTATTCAG